AATTTTTCGCTTGTCATGACTGGACAAAAGGTTGGTAAAACTCTCTGTGGACAGCAAGTATATAGTTGTTGTTGTTGTTGTAACCGAAAAAGTATGGCTCAAAGTACATTTAGAAGAATTTTGCGGTAGTGGCAGTCCTTGGCAGGATAAAAATCCGGGTCTTTGCGGTGTAAAGACCCGTCTGTCGCAGCAACTATTGGATTTTAGTTGCCTTTTACAGGCATGCCTTACCGCGGGTAAATTCTTGAACCCCTAACCCGCAGGGGTGGCGAGTTTATAGTCATGTACTGTGGTTTGAGAAAATATAGTATTTCTGTACTTTGTCGGTGCGATGGTGCATGTGCTTTCTTTTCGCCTGGCAGGCAGGTCTGTATCTAGCCAGAAATAGCTTTAGTCTTAAACTGGTACTCATGTTTATACGATACTAACCAGTACCTCCGAATGGTCTTATGACAACTCTAAAGTTTATACAGATTACTTCTTCCTGGTTCTCTGGTTATTTGTGGCACTTTTAAATAGTCTTTTTTTTCTTCTCAGGGACCAGCAGGTGCTTATCGTGCTTTGATATGTAATTCAGATCCCGTTGTTTTGGAAGCGTAGCTTCTATCTCTTAATTTGCTGATCTATATTAATATCGTCAAATGCCTTCTCCGGAAATCTCATAATGCCGACTCATCGGATGTCCTTATGGTCAATGCTTCTGCATCATCGTTCATCGAATTTAGACTTCATGTAATCAGCTTGCATTGGTTTCGTCAAGAAGACACAACTTTAAATCTGCCGTTACGAAAATGCTTACCTTACTAAAAAGTACTTTCGGAAAGTCCATAGAATAATTAAGAATACTCGGCACGGAGACTTTTTTCCATCGCAATCTCAGCATCAAATTTTCGCTCCTTAATATCTCCACAATGGCATGTGACGCAGTTAAGCTCAGATTTTTTGGTTTAAATCACAAACACACTGCAGTTAAGCGTATGCCAAAGTTGGCCGCAGGAGAGGCTTAGGAACCACAATGGTAATAGTATTTCATTACCAGAGCCAGCTCCTTGATTGGAAAGGAAAATGGAAAAAATTTCAATCAACCAAAAATGCCAATAAATTCCTAAAACGAAAACTACACACAATTACTATTTACCCATGACATAAGCCGTATGAATGTATGTATGTTTGAATATTGCCGCAAGTCAATTCGTTTACCGAAGGTGTCGATCATTATTAATGGCAGCAAAAAATAGCCATTGGCATGTCGACACAAATAAACCAAACTGCCAGACGACAAGGGGCACAGGTACACTGACTCAGTAATTTATAAGCACAAAACACCCACATACAAAAGTGTTTATATGCATGTTTGTATATGTGTAAGTGTGTTAATACAGAATTGGAATTGGGCGTACGGCTCTCGCCTTGTCGTACAATAGCAAAAACAAACAGAGCCTAAAACTCAAAGTGACAGACTGCGCTGACAGTTTGAGAGTTGATGAGCTCGAACCATCCCGACCAGCTGCTTGGCTGACTAGTTGTTATGCTGGTCCACCGGCCGACACCGGTAGCTGTGGTTTGTGTAAACCACAGTAATTGACATCAGGACAAGTCAAAGTGACACTTTTTTACGGTATTAGATGATTGCCAAGTTATTCGTTTCAGCCAAGTGACGATCTATTGTTACTTATATACAAACATTTGTTTACATATTTATTTCATTTTGCTCTTTGATTTTTGCGCCCTCACACCGTCCACCCCTGTGAATTTCATTTTGCTTTATTTCTAAATTTAATTGAAATTCCACTTTCAAGGCAGTCTTTCTTGCAGGCGTGTGAGTGGAAAGAGGAGCAAAAGAGTAATAAAAAAGTAATGCAGAAAACGAAAAGATAAATATGGCGCTTGGCTTGCTAAAGGTAGGAAACAGTTGAGTTAAAAAAAATCACATTTTTATGTGTGTATGTATGATGAATGCTTGTTGATGCAAAAACAACTTCGTCACAGGCACTATATATAAAAATCCCACAGGAACCGTGTGTCAGACGAGTTGACCGACCGTCCGTTCGTTCGCCTATAAAACAATCAACCTGTTCGCCTGTCTGCCAATGCCCATCACAACCGTAAATTGTATTCTAGCATCATTGTGTCAGGAGTTAATTTGTTTTTGAAGTGCGTATCATTGGCTGTTTCGTATGACGCGAATGAGCTGCAAGTGCCGAGTTATAAGGAGAGACGATAAGCAATTTAGATTTCTTATTTATTTTACACTTAATATGTTATTAAGTGACATTTATTTGTTTCGCTTTGATTGGTGCAAAGTGTGAGCATAAGTTCAGTCATTTAAAATTGTTCAAATTTTGAAATTGGATTTCATTAAATATTGATTGAAGAAATTTTAAAAATCACTCTGGGGGCAGATTTAAATAAATTTTATTAGAATTACTATTTTTTGTTGCTAAAAACATAATACAAAATTACTATAAGGTAGTTTCACTCCAAAATTTTCGACAGTAAACGTATTTGCTCAGAAATGTTTGATCATGCCACTTATAAAATATTCAGCTTGGAGATTTTTAAATATTTTTGAGGCTATCTTCTAAGCAGATGCTTCAATATTGATTATACGCATGGATCTAATAAATTATTTGTTTCAATACATTCTTCTTAGGTTGCAGAAGTAAGAAAATATGCTTTCTATTATAAATAAAATAGCAAACGTCGACATTTTTTACTCTTTTCGAAACTCAGGTTTTATGGTTTGGTTACCAGGTCTTAGGAACACTGCCGGTGAACTTTTCTCATGACATAGGCGTACTTATTTCTCTGCTAAGCATTTGCTAAGACCAGCCTCCACCAGAAGAGCCAACAGCGGATGAGGGAGTGGAACCACGAGCAATTGATCGTAGTGAATAGAACTAAGTCTTTACTCCTTTTAAAAAGGACCTCCATAAGCATAACAACCGGTGTGTTAACCATACTTTGCAAGCGTTGTTTGTTTGTAAGCAATTCGTGGTTAAATTATAGACCAATCACGAAACATGAGTCAGCTGTTTAAACCAGTTTCTCCAAAAATATAATATAATAGCAAAAAAATCGCCCTTTATTTATTTGGAAAAAGTAAAATAAAATAAAAATAAATTATTTAATTATATAATAGCGTATCCACTAACTAAAGCTTCAGATGAGGTTAAGTAGATTTGTTTTTGAAGTGGGTACGTGGATACACTTAGTCCAGAGTAGAATCACTGGATATTGCACTGTTGTCATTACTGTTCGTTCACTTCGATTATTTTATAAATTTTAAATTTAAATCACGAAAAATAAGTGTTGTCGAGGCGCTCGTAAAAGGCATCTTTGGTCAAGTCATCCTTCTCTCCCGTCAGGGCGTTTGAGCAAATTAGCGTGGTGTTAAAGAATTTCGTTTTGATGTGGATTTTGGCGAGACGTTCATTCACCGGAGTGAATGCCATCGGTGACCACGAATCCGACACAAAACTTTCGCTCCTTTATTTGGCCGCTGTAGTTAATTTCGTCCTTGTCACGTTCATCGCACTCTTGGACGGCGGTGAAATCAGCCTTTAACTTTATTGGTACCAGCGGCACCTTCCCAAATAAGGACCCAGACATTCAAGGTGGATGCCCTAAAATCATAATCCTTAAAACATTTGCGGGTGTCGTCATTAAAAGTGGGGTTACTCATCCTAGACATAGTCTGATTTTATATTTGATTTTGGTTTTCATGTGGTGCGTCCCAAAGCCTACGCTCAACCACATGGAATTCGCATTCTCACTTCAGCTCACCTCCAAGCGGTTATTTGTTGGCTACCCGGGGGTACTTGGTCTAAGACCAAAAGTCGTGTGCTGCTTGAACCATAAGTAAAAGAATCGTTTCTGCCCACTACCAGGTGAACGGCAGTCAGAAACTATCCTCACTGGCGTGAACTTCTACACATCCCCCATCTTAGATTAGCCGGAATAATGTTCACTTAAATAACTGGATCTATCGACACCTATTTTGCCAAAAACTTGATTGGGATTATTTTATTACTGAAATATGGTATCCGTAAAATCAGATTTTTCTCACACTTGTTATACACGGCTTCTCAAACTCGCTAAGTACAATACTGCCTATTTTGCCTTCGTGCGATCAACTACAACATTTTCGGATTGTGGAAGAGACTGAGAGCTGGAAAGATTAGCGAGAGGCCTTTTTTATGAAGGAAACGCTTCTTTATAAATTCTATGAAAATATGCGAGGACTATGAGAATGGTTCAAGCCGCAGCATACTCATCTAGGCACCAAGGTGGCCAATGACCAGAACACATTTGCTATATGGAGGGAACGCTTCTTCAACCTGCTTAATGACAGTGAAAGCGAAACACCTGGAGATGATGAACTTGAAGCTCCAATCAATTATGAAGCCTAATTAGTTCCATTACTCTAATATGATGAGGATTAAGGTTGCTCGGTTAAAAAAAAAACGAGCAGCTGAATTTGATGACCTCTCTATATATAAATGGCTGGTTTGTTGCTTTAGCTTCTTAGATCGACGATTGGTACTCTACTGGAGCTATCCTCTTAGATATGGCATAGAAGGCACTATCGAGCGTGTTATGTGAAAGACTAAAGACTATCGTAAAAAAATTGATTGGACCTTATCAGCATGGCTTTAGACTTGGTAAATCAAATATTGACCAGATATTCACCATGCGCCAAATCTTGCAAAAAACCTGTGAGAAATGAATAGATACACATCACCCTTTGACCAATTTTAAAACCGCACAACAAAAATGGTAATTTCGGAATTTCATATTGTCTGACAGTATTACTTTACCTTCAACACCTACCTACTATACAATATTTTTGTTTTCCAGAAGTCTTTATTTATTTTGATTGCTAAACAAATTACATTTTCTTCACTTTTGCATAAGGTTTTAATGCACCTGTACCTTGCTAAAGGTTTACCTTTAAGTTTACTCCATTAGGTGGCATCAAAGACGAATATATCCGAATATAAAACTGTGATAGAGTAAGTATTTAATATTATAAGGTTTACCTCAAATTAAAATGTTTTTGGTTTTAGATAAGTTTTCTCAACCTTTTATGCCATTCAATCAATCAGAAAATTGAAAATAAAAACTTCAAAAAATATTATTTAAAATTCTAAAAACAAATAACTAACGTTTTGATGTAAATTTAAAATAAAAAAATACAAATAATAAATAAGAAAAGGACGCAGAATACAGACGCATGAGAAGAATTTAAAACATGGCATAATAAAATTCTTCGATGAGTGGCACGACGCATACAAATATACATACATACATAGATACAGTGCAACGGGGAAATATCAAATCAACATTCTACGCACAAAACGCTGGGAATACCAAAGAGGGCACAAGGTAAGACGGAATTTATCAGCGAGGAATGTCAATATGCTTTTCTCTTGGCTTACCTTCTTCTCAGTCACTTTTGTTTTCTTTTTTTCTTGTCTCTTTTTCGCTGCGCAATGATTTGTATTTTGGATATTTATCAATATTTTGTATGAATTTCTGCAGTTATTCTTTTGTGGCACTACAGACAACACACCGAGCCACCGAGGTAGAGAGTGAGGCATATGAGTACCGTTAAAATGGGTGAGCAAGAAACGAAAAATAAAATGTGCCCACAGAAGCGAGATCCCACAGACGATCAAAGTTTGGGGAAAGCCTTGGTCTTGGCAACTCTTGGCATGGCGGTCGGTTTGGTGCTCTGTGCCACCACAGCCGGCGCAGCATCAACGGCCGCGGTGGCGGCGGAATAATTATAAGTAACCATCGCACGTAGCAGCGCTAGCTGTATGACGGGATTGTCGATTAGGTGTGGCAAGACGTTGAAAAACATAATCATCAATATTATTGCTTTCAGCGAATGCGGCTGGATAATGTCCCCAGTGTGTATTTGGGCACACGCGCTTGTTTCTGCACACAAAATGCCAGCAAAGTAACATAAAAAATAAATAACAAAAAAAAAAAAAAAAAAAAAAAAAAAAAAAAAAAAAAATTTAAAGGGAAATTTAAAAAAATTTGAATTCAACGAATTTGTGTGAAAATAAAATTACTTAACTAACGAAACTTATTCATTCTCAGTAGTCTTTGCGGGTTTTATTGGATTGAATATGTAGAGTGGTAGCCAAGTTCGTGCTGGAAAATTTTGCAGTCACGTTCCTTTTTAGCAATGCACTTAATGGAAAACTGGACATTTCGACGAACTTTTTGGTTAGTAAATTTTTTAACCTTTTAGTAAAAAGTCATAGAAGAAATCAGTCCACTTTCTTTTATTATGCGTAGAATTATTAAAATCCTTTTTTTTATTTTATTTCTTGTAAAAAGTTTTCTGTAAAATTTTTTAAACACCTCTCAAAAATTTTGATTTTCCAAAATAATTTATAATTTTTACCTAGTTCAATCTTCAGTAAGATTTCAAAAAATCTAGGGCAAAGAGTTTGTGGAATTTAAAAATCCCCTGATTCGACAGCTTTACATTTTTTCAGTAAACTTTTAATGTCCACACGTTTCTCTTGCAATTTATTTGAAAGGCTTACATGGTTTTCACGGCCTCGAAAATTCCAATTTGTTTTATAATTTTAGTAATTTCTATAATATCTCAAGAATTTCACAATAATTTTCCAAATCGATGCGAAGTTTCGGAGATACAACCTTGGGAAGGTACGCGCTCAAAGTCAGGTAAGCCCAGCGCTCTAAACTTCAGACCCGATTTTTTTTGGAGCTGTGCTTTCAAAGTTGGTGGTGAAAGTATTCGAAAACTACTAAACTAGTTAAAAAAATTTACAGTTTTTGCTTGAAAGTCTGAATTTTTTACTTCCGAAATATCTTTTTCCGAAGGGTCACTGTGTTCAAAAAATATCGCGAATTTTGTTTTTTTTTCAAAAATTACTTATTTATTCATGAATACCTATTTTGTCCCTTTCAAAGTAATCTTCGAAGCACTTAAAAAATCATTTTTTTTTATCTTGTTCAGCTCCTCCTTCGATGCCGTCTTTATCTCGTCAATCGTAGCCAAAAAAATCGAAATTCGATTATACGAAACCCGCGAAATTCAAAATTTGGAAATTTTTCGGAAATTTTTTTTAAAAAATATTTCTTTAATAAAAATGTCACTCCATAAAATTTAGAAAAGTTCTAGTTAAGTGCGATTTTCGTTAATAAGTATATCCCATTTTTTACAATTTTCGTTATTTTTCGTTTTCGAGGAAAAGCTTTACTACAATTTTGCAGCTTTTACATTCCTTCTTTATTAAAGATAACAACAAAAAAATTTATTAAGGCCAGGTTCTTCCAAAAAACATGTTTTTCAAACAAATTTTATTTATTTAAAAAACAAAATTATAAATCAAAGTTTTTGTAGATAACTGGACGTATAAAAATACTAATTGAAAATTTTTTGAAATCCTTTTTGTTCTTGTTCTTATTCTGTAGCACATTGGCTATGGCCGGAGCTACGATGAAACATTTTCACGAAAACAAAAATAACGAACTTGCGGATTTTTCAATTCTTTTACTTTTTTTCAATTTTAATTGTTTATAATATTTTTAAATAGCAATGAATATTTTTGGCTGTAGTACCGACCATCGATAGACATTTAAGGAGTAAAATGCCGTTTAGTTCATGATGATTATTTCGAGGTTTCGAGAAAAAAGCGTTTAAAGTACTCGAGCGGCAGGACTTACCGCTTGGCGCGCTCCGTTCTCCTTACTTCTTTTCAGAACCTCGAAACTAAGTCTATATCATTTCCAAGAGCATTTTATAGCAATTTACAGGAAAAATAATATTTCGAAATTTTGAACCTGGACTTAAGTCTCTATTTTCCCATATGACTTCAAAAATGAGAACTTAGCTTTTCTACGTCGCTTTTATGAAGAACTTTAGAGCTTTCATATTAAATTAAGTCTTTTTTTCTGCTTCTCACTAAAATTATTTAACGCACCGCTCAGATGAAAGTGATCGGAGAAGATGATTTTCTTAAAAATTCGTAATCATTTTCAAGTTGTTGTTGTTGTCATTTGCTAAACGTTTTTGTTTGTATTTCTTGCCATGATGAAATCGTAACTTGACCGGCATGACATGTGTTTCCAACAAAACGGTGCCACTTGCCACAAAGCTCGTATACCAAAGGACTTATTGAGAGGCGAATTCGGTGAACATTTTATTTCACGCGGACCGTAATATCGATTCAAATAAAGATTTCATAAATATTTTTGTACTTTATGTGTTTTTGTTTTTTTTTTTTAACTTTCCATCACCCTTAAAAAATCATCCTTGAGTTGCATGGACCATAAATACCATTTATCCAAATAAATCGATCTCAAATTCGTTTCCAGAAAAAAAACAGTTTTCCACACATTAGCCCTGGCAAAGAACCACCGACATATGTTCCACATATTAAGGAAAATCGAACCACCGAATCGGAAAAGGGTAACTGAAATGTTTTCGAATAGATAGGTTACAGATCCGTTTTTCGGAAGAAACTGTGCTTGCCATGTCTACTTAGGCAAAGAACTACCTATGCACGAAATTTTATGAAAAGCGATTTAAAAATAAATAAAATTTTTTGAATATATTGGTACCACGTATACATTCCGGAAAACATTTTCTTATCGGATGCTTACCTCATAAGCAAAGGAAAAAATTTGTATATATGAATAATCGTTAAAATATAAATGCAAATTTTTTTCTTTCCAAATTATATTTGAAATCCATATAACAACCGCTTTTCAAAATTGGACCGCTAAAATTAATATCCAAATATATTTTGAATATCTAATAATTGGTCAGAGGTGTCAAAACGGCGATATAAATGCATATATTATTAATAAACATTGAATTAGATATGTATATGTGTTATGAATTGTGTTGAATTTATCGGCATTTTCCCATACATATCTACATTTTGCCGCTATTCAACCTAACTGCCAAATTAGCTGTCACTTTTTCCAATGATGAGCAAATGATATTCATTTACGAGCTGTCTCTGTGCTACCACAAAATGCCACATTGCTGCCAAACAAGTGAACATTCTTGCCACGACTCGATGAATGATGCATATTTATTTGAAAACACGCACACACTTACATATAACATATTTATATCATACAACCACAAACAATCATACATACATAAATGCTATATTTTTTGAACAGACAAGCTTTTAATAAATACCAAATATGTGTGGCTTGCATGCCAGTTTACCTGTGTGTGTGAGAGCGCTGCGGGATGGGCAGGAAATTCACCACAAACACCCACCACCAACTAACCACATAAACATTGATTTTATTATTTTCTTTTTTGTTATTATGTTTTATCTATTTTTGTGGCACTTCAGTGTTCATATACTCTTTGGCTTGAATATATGAATGTATGTATGTATGTATTATGTATGTATGTATGTAAGTGGCACCTAAGTGAATTTGTACAAATGTTATTTCAGCGGTGATTTGAGCATCTAACTAACAACGTAAATGGCATAACAAGAAGTATGCTAATTTCATTTCGATGATAGACATTGATGTCTCAGCTAATAATTTGGGGCGCAAATACATACAAAAAAAAAAAAAGGAAAAGCTTATATTTCCCAACAGGAGGAAGAAAATGCTGCTTGCATTACATTTTATTTAGGACTTTAAGCTTTTTGCCTGAATTAGGAAAAAAAACAGTCTGTGCCAAGTCAGTATCTGCTCAGAGATATGCTTAATACTTGGCAGAAACTGAGACTTCACCTTAAAAGCTTCAATTTTTTTAGGCGATTCTAGGCCTTTAGTTATTTTAGTCAGACTCAAAAAATGTCACGTTAGCTGTAAGCAACACATCCAGGACCAAAGAACGCGGAATTACCAGAAGTCAGTTCACAAAAGTTTGGGTGTAGATTTTATTCGGTTAAGTCCAATACCAATTTTGGACCAAGGTTATTAACGATTTATTTTGGCTTGCAAGCAGCATTATCTTCTTCTATAGAAAGTATCTGGTGATCACACTATATGATACTCTAAAGAATTCCATGTCGCCTGCTGATAAAGGAGATGTTGTAGCAATGCTCCATCTCCTAGGGTTTTGAAATGAAAATAGCATTTAAGTTTCGTGTGCCTCTTCTGTATTTAACAAAAGAAATGATAATAAATAATGGGTGTTAAAGATTGTTGTCAGAACCAGAAATAAAACCGACAAAATTCTGTTGAACACAGAACTACACATTCCGATTATTGATTTGGATATCAGTTTCATTTTCGAAACAGAATTTGTGTTGATTTTAGGTGTTACAAGAAACGGATTTATAGGTTTAAATGTTAGAATTCTATCGATCAGGTTTTCGTTGACAGAATTGTGTGCAAATTTATCTGCAAGCGGAAATTTAATAAATATTTAGGTCATGAAAAATGGATTTTACGATCAACAATGCCTGGAATACGGAGTTCATGTAAAAATGGTCATGAGCTCTCCGTTTTACATTGTCGTTCCCCGCTTATGCAAATTAAACGTCCAAAAGCCTTTAGCATTTCTATTATAACCACCGAGACGGTACGTCACGCTAAAAAGACATTTGAGTCCGACCGTTAAACAGGAGCCTTCTGTTAAAACCGGCAGTGTGGCTGTAAGTTGTAGCACATGTGGGATGGATAGTTTCAATGATACCCAGCACTAATACAAAGGCTTCTTTGTTAAGACGATATTGGTCTATGCATCTACATACAAACGAATTTCCCATCAGCAAATGAAAAAGTAGAATTCAAATTTGTTTTAAATCAACTCTGGCAACTCCAGCGAATTGCTCTTATCCCTCACAATTTAGCCTTTCATTTTCTGGATTACTTCTCCAAATCCTGCTTTAATCAAAAATGCTATCACTGCCGAAGTCATTTTATTTTTAACTATCATAAATGTTTTAATACCAGAACATAAACTAAGTTGAATTGCTGGGACAATTGTGATGACAGCTGATTCGAATATCGG